GCGGCGCGGGAGCGCAGCCGGGTGCGGACGCTGCGCCAGGCCTTCCTGGCCCTGCAGGCTGCGCTGCCCGCCGTGCCGCCCGGCACCAAGCTCTCCAAGCTGGACGTGCTGGTCCTGGCCACCAGCTACATCGCCCACCTCTCCCACACCCTGGGCCAGGGCCCGGCCCCCGCCGCCCGCACCCCCAGCCTGCTCCACCCCATCAAGGTACTGCCTGGGCCCTCCCCGGGGCACGGGGCATTTCCCCTCTATTGCCGACGGGGCTGGGGGCAGCGGGAGACCCAGGCCCTGGGCTCCAGCCCCCCACGGCCCCGTCTCTGCTGTGGGGGGGTGAGGTCTTGCTGATGCCCCCTCCCCGTGTCTTACAGAAGTGGCCGATGCGCTCCCGCCTCTACGCCGGCGCCTGGGGCTGGGACGGCCCCGAGCCACAGGCCCCAGCGCTCACGGCCCCCGGCAGCCACGCATGGGCAGGCCTGGAGGGGGGTGGCACCGCAGCTGGGGGCCCTGCCCCGTGATCCCCCTCGCTCCAGGGCTCCTCTCTCCCGCTCACGCAGACCCTGGGGCAGGCCGTGCCTCCACCCCGGACCCCAGGACTGGGCCGGGGGCACCGGCTCCTGCTGCTTTCAGACTTCACGCTGCACCCCTCACCGCCACGTCAGGGTGCCGCGTGCCTCCCCGCGGGGTGCCACCCAGCCTGGACAAACCTGCTGCCAGCTGAGAGGAGGAGGAGGAGGGGGGCAAGGGCAGGGACCACTCCTGACACCCCTGCAGCAACCGAGCTGGGATTTGCAGGGGTGTGGGGGGGCCGCGGTCTGGGCACTAATGGGCAGCCAGGACGCCTGGGTCCATCCCGGCTGCGGGGCGCCAGGACTCCTGGGCACGCTGGACTCGCCAGCTGAGAACGGGCCCGACGCGCGCAACCGTGACACTGTTAGTCTGCCAATGCAAAGGTTGTGGGTTCAACCTCCGGCAGGCTTCGCTCCTGCATTTCTTTTGTGAAGAAGCCTTTTCCTGCGGTTTCTTGTGTCCTCTTTACCGTTCAGCCTCAAGCCCTGGGTCCCGCTCAAGCAAAGCGAGAGCCGTGCCAAGCCGGGGATGTGGGGGGGTTTCAGAGCTGGCGCTGGGTGTCTGCAAGGTCGTGCATCTCAGCCGCCCCCACCCAGCAAGCCTCGGATTGGGACCGTTAACCCTTCGCATGCCGCTGGGCCCAGCCAGGTGGGAGACGGGTCAGGGGAGCATGAAGCCAAGAGCAGCTGTGCACCCCTCCTCCCGCACAGCCAGGCTGGGGCAGCCCCTTGCACCGCCCCGAGGGGCTCGGGGCAGGGCCCTTGCCCCTTCCCCCTGGAAGTTGCCTGCAGCAGGGACTAGGGCTGCACCAGCACAGGGAAGCCTCTCAGCCCTGCCTGGCCCAGGTGCCTGTAGGGCCAAGGTGAGGCATACGGGGCCAGAGCAGGCTGCCCAGGACAGGGACCAGGCCTGGGGAGCCCCCTGCTCACTGGAGCCGTGAGCGAGAGGAACCAGCCCCGGCTCCGTGGGAAAGCGGCCAGGGCCAAGGCTGCGGCCGTAAATCTGCCGCACACCTGGCCGCCGGCCCGCTCCCGAGGCAGCCGCCGGCCTCCCCGGAGATGCCTCTGCCGGGGGCGGCTGGGGCCTGGGAAGGAGAGCGGCTGCCAGCTCCAGCCCCCAGCAGCTGCAGCCAGGCCTCCAGGGCGCAGAGACCACCCCCATTTCAGCCTGGGCCCAGGGCTCTCGGCACGTCCCAGCCGCCAGGGCCCCCAGGCCCAGGCCCCCCCGCGCCGTGCGGTCCAGCCCCACACGCAGCCCAGGCCGTAAATCAAGTCTGTATTGTGTCGGGCCACGGGGACGCAGCCCCGGCCCCGCGGAGGCAGGGGAACAGCAGCCCAGAGGCAGGAAGGCAGAGCCAGCCCGCGCGCTGGGGGGAGGCCGGGCCTGGCTGGGTGCGGGGTCCCACGGGGAGGCGATCCGTTTCAGGCTGGGGGAGACGCGGGGCGTCCTGGCCCCCAGATGCTCCAGCCCGGAGCGGCTCAGGAGGCCTTGGCTTTCCCCCGCTGGGTGCCCCAGAGCAGCAGGGATAGGACGGCGGTCACAGCTCCCAGGACCCCATAGAAGAGCAGCATGGGGAAGGTGCCCTGCAAGGCAAAGCCAGCCGTGAGCCCGTGGACCCCAGCTCAGGACACGGGACCCTCTGGGCCGGGCTTGACCCCCAGGGCCATCCCGTCCCCCGGCAGGACAGGCTGGCCCTGGCCTGGGCACCTCGAGGAGGCAGCTTCCACCCTTCCTGCCTCCCATGGCTCCCGGCGTCTTCCGAGACGGGCCCCAAGGCCGCGCGGCTGCAGCACAAGGCCTCTGCTCTGCTCCGTCTCGAGCCCTTTCCCAGGCTTCAAGCCTGCGGTGATGCCCCGAAGCACCCCGTCTCCACGCTGGACATCGCCCTGCTTGCAGCCTCCCCCGTACGGCCGCCTGTCCCCACTCGGTCGTTCCCATTGCTCACCCCAGACCTCTCCGCTTTCCCACCTCCTTAAATCCCCAAGCACAGAGCTGCCTGCTGCACTCTCGGCCCAGGACGTGGCAGCCTGGCCGGCCCTGAGATTCATTCAAGGGTGTCGCAGACGTCCCACCACATCAGGCGGGTGAACATCTGAGATAAGCCCAGAGGTCTCGGACCAGGCAGACACAGCCACGGGTCCTGAAGTCTAAACACTGCTCTAGATGCGATTTGTAGGCAAAACACAAAACAAAACAAAAAGCAGAAACCAAGAGCTGGCTCTTTCCAAGGGGGCCGCGAGTCTCTCCCAGGGGAAGAGCCTGTCCTGGAGCCTAGAGGGGCTGAAACGGTGCCCGGCCGAAGCAGCATCACCTCCCGGGCCCTGCAGCCCAGAACCAGGCGCCGTCTTACGTGCACCCCAGACCCCTCCAGGCAACACGACGGCCCAGCCAGCGACATCCCACCCGGGACCCGTGCGTGGGTTATTGGGCACCGTGGGCAGCCCCCCCCACACCAGCTGGGACGTCGCCCTGTTGCTCTAGCCCAGCTCCCCTTCACCCAGCACCAGCCCTGCCCAGCAGCCGCAGCTCCCCCCAGCCTTGGTGCCTGCTCCCGGCAGAGGCTCCCCGTTCCTGCACCAAGTCGCTAGCAGAACCGTGCAGCTGCAGCCCGCGGGGAGGAAGGGCCCAGCTTGGAGGCTGCAGTAAAGCAGGTTCAGGTTGGATCCCTTAAATGTGTCTTCACTGTCAGAGCAGGGCAGCCACGGGAGAGATGCCAGGGCAAGGGGGACTCTCCATTCCTGGAGGTGTCAAGGAGGGTGGACGGGTGCTAGGCAGGAGCAATCTAGGCACAGTGATGCCTGTGCTGTGCTGTGGGGGGCTTTGGGGCTGTGCTGGTTGCCTCCGGCCCCTTTCTGCTCCATGTGTCAGGGGGTTTAACCCTCCCCGCAGAGGTGCTGGGTGCTGCAGCCCGGGCTGGGCCAATGCTCCTGCTAGCACCAACCCCACAGCGTCCTGCCTGGAGGGTCTTGCCCCTGTGGTCAGGCTCAGTCCCACACCGCACTGGGGCAGGAAGGGATTTCGCCCCGGCTCAGACTGGTGCACACCGGGGGGTTTTGCCTTCCTCTGCAGTGGGGGCACGGCCTCGAACTGGGGTCTCAGGAGCATCCATGAACCCCTTGGCCGCAGCAGGATGTCAGGGAGGGGCGATGCCTGGGGCTAGTCCAGGCGTCTCTGCAGTTTTGCTCCGCAGTCAGATGCGGGGTTTGTGTGGGCGGGTTTGCACAGGGCTGATCCTGGACTAGACGTGACCTCCGGAGCTCCCTGCCTGCCCCGCGGCGCTGGGACTCCAGTTCTATGACACTGCCCAGGGCCCCAGGACCAGCACCACCCCCTGCCCAAACCCTGGTGGCTTCCTGCTCCTCACCTCACGCAGGCACTTGTAGCCGTGGTAGGGCCCCCAGCACAGGCACTGGACGAGGCTGGGGCCGTTGGGGGCGCACTGGGAGTTTTCAGGGCAAAGCCAGGCTGCATGGAAGCGGATGGGAGAAGAGGTCACAACAGGGCTGTGAGACCCCCGCCTCGATGGCTCCCGGGGGGCAGGGAGCCGCGCGGAGGACAGTGCAGCCCCGACAGCAGAGCCCGCACACCAGCTCCGCGAGCACCCCCTGCCCCTACCGAGCTCCCCGGAGCTGTTGCAGGAGTTCCTCTGGCCCTGGCAGATTCTGCTGTCCGTGCCAGCTGTGATGTTCTCCCAGGCCGCGCTCCCCCCGGGGCAGTCCAGGGCAAGCGGGACGGCTCTGGGCAGGAGAGAGGGGTCAGAGCTGCCTGCGTGCACCCAGGCCACAGCAGCCTGCAAAAGGTTAAGGACCCAATCCTGCCCCCACCCAGCCAAGGGTAAGTGCCCCCCCAGCCACCCACCCTCTTTGCACTCTGTACCCCACGGAGCCCACCAGTCCTGGGGCCCCCACACCAAGCCCCCTGCTGGCCCCTGTGGCACCCCCTTTCCTCCAGGGACCCCCAGGCACTGGGGGGGACACGACAAGTCACACCCTGCCCGGCCCAGCCCAGCACTCACATGCTCTGCAGGCTGGTGAAGCCCAGGAAGGAGGCGTCAGGGAGCTTCTCCAGGGGGTTCTCCGTCAGGTCGCTGTGGACAGACCAGTCACAGGTGTCAGCTAACCCTAACCCAGCACAAGCCCCATCCGCCTGGGGCTGGGGCCGGGCACGGCTCAGGACCGCGGGCACTCCTCCCAGCCGGGGCCGCGGGTGCCAGCACGGGGCGCGGGAGCAGGAGAGTTGAGGGGTGGGACTCACATGACCACGGCGGTGCTGGCGTCCTGGAACCCGGGGCACAGGCTCGTCCGGTTGCAGCTGCCCATGTCCAGCCTGGGAGGGGCAGAGCAGCATCAGCACGCCCAGCGGGACCCTTCCCCAAGCCCCCCTCGCATCTCCGCTGCCCCCTCCACCGCAGTGCCGCACGCCCCCCGCCCGGGGGGGCACCAGCTGCCTGGGCACCAGGAAGGCAGGGGGTAGGGCGCCCCCGGTGCTCGGGGTCCTCTCGGAGATCTCTGGGCTTATCTGGGGCATTGCGTGGAGGTGGTGGCACACCTGGCCCTGCTAAGACCCTGCGCTAAGGCACCCTTAAGAGGGTCTCATGG